AAAAAATGATATCAACCAGTTAAGCTTACTTACAAAAGATGGAAGCAACATGTCAAGTTTACTTACAAAAGATTGCAACATGTCAAATTAAGTTCCCACTGACAGTAGTATGTACCTAGTGCTCTGATTATAGTTTTACTCACATATTTTCTTATTATCACAAATTGTTTTGACTTAAAAATCTCAAAAGGGAAAAACTAAAAACAATTATGTTTCTTACTTTAAAAGATACTTGAAATCCTGCTTTCGTAGAACACGCAAATCATCACAAAGAGCTTTGACCTGTCAAGACACTAGCAAATTAAGTGACGACAAGTTTTAAGGCAGGTAAGACTAGAAATATTGAAAAGATAATCACCTCTTATGAGGTAGAACTGTGATCCTTAATAGGCAATGAAGTTGGATCCTCAAAGGTTATGGTAGTAACCAAACCAAGGATTTCAAGAGGAGAATCAGACCAAATGAAGTCAGTAGAAGTAGACACCTTCTTCGAGATTGTCTCCCCATCTTCATACTTGTGGTCGGCATGTAGTTAGAAACAAAGTAAACACTTGAAAATATTTACCAAAATATGAACAAAGTAGTTACATTGTTGTATGATAAATGGAAAACTTACCCATCACGATGTCTATTTTGTTTACTTACCCTAAGTACATCAATCACCTACATCAAACACGTGCAGAAAGAAAAAAAGATGAGAATAGATACAATCAATGGGGTAAAGGAGAGAGTTTGAAACATAAAATGAAATAAAAACCTACTTTTGTGTTTTTATTGATCCCTAAAACAGATGCTTGAAGTCAAAAAAATATGGACAATCTTTGCAGGGGCTTTATACCTTAGCCCCAAAACATAAATCTCAGCTGATGCTGAACGACTAGCAACAGGTTTATCAACTTCAACCTTCTCAAACAATTACAAACCAAAAACGTGTCAAATTAAAAAAATAACTTTACAGAGAGTCTCTACGGTTCTGTTTATTGTTTATCACCTGTTTGAGACAATAGAGAACGGAACTGTAATCTTGAGACCCAAATATGAATCAAGTTCAGACTTCACATGCAGTACAGATGTTTCTCCACTAAAAACGTCTTGCAAAAGCTCATACAAACCACTAGATGTAACATCACCTCCATGAACATCCATAGATAAAATACTTGTTTTTGTTCTCCGATGATGCAAGGGGATGGGAAAAGAAGGAAGATAAAAGCAACCAAGAAACAAGAATCGATCATCAGCTATCATCAAGAGAAAAACCAGAAAACACACATCAAAGGAAACGAAAGACATAGAACCAAAAAAATAGTGACCAACCAGGAAAAACTAGAAACTACAAGCCATCAGGAACAACCAAGCAACAAGGTAAAAAACATGAAAAATCAACAGGAATAATCCATTGTCAACCAAACCCACCATCGAGCAAAATAGAAAACTTACTTTTCTAACCCATAACCTATCGTCGCCTTCGCTAGGATCCATGATCTCATCTAATGGAAGGTAAACCCTTTATCTTTTATGGTTTTCCAGTCGTGCATGTGGGATTTAAATCGCGGGTTTTAGGGATTTGAGGGGTTTTTTAGGTTAGCTGTTGGGGTTTGTGGGGAGAGGAGAGGTTCAATAAGTTTGGGTTTCTTGCCTAGGCCAGTGAGGAAAGAGTGGTCCGGGCGTTAGGGCTTTTCATCGGAGCTCGTTGGGACGACGAAGGCCGCGGTGTTGTGGTCTGGCAGGGCTACGGGGTGGTGAATCTGGGTATTTACGAGGGTATTATGGGTTTAAGTTTAAGGTTTTGGGGATGTTTTTTTATAAAGGTTGTCACCGGAATCTGTTTAGGTGAAGTTTAAGCTCCACATCGGAGCACTAGGCGGCTAAAGCCACGGAGGTTGTGGGTCTCTGTTAGGGTTGAGCGAGGAAAATGATAGAAGGTAGGGAGATGAGAGAGCGGCGGGTTGTGTCTCATTGAGGAGAGATGAGGAAATGATTTAGGTTAAGCGTTTCACCCTAAGTTTCCTATATATTCCAACGACCAAAACGACGTAACTTTAAGTAGTACCAAAACGACAGCGCTTTGAGGACTAGGGGTAGCCCGTGTTTTAGAAATGAAGCATTAGCATTTTAGGACCTGTTATATTTGTAATCTTCTAATTTCGTCATTAATCAAGGTTTACGTTTTTATGATTCGGGGTTGTTAATTTATTTTTATTTTATGTTTTGATCACCGTTTATTTTGATAATGGACCTATTGATTGATTTGACCAAGTGTGATTTATTAGTTTATTTACATATAAACCCTGGTTAATTTCATTAATTTCATTTTGCATAATTTGTATGTTACCTTCATATGCATAACTTAACCCCTATCACATAATCATATTAAGGGTTTAGGGTTTAAGATTTATGGTTTATGGTTTAGAGTATAGGGTTTAGGGTGTAATCTAACATGTGCTTAATTAAATGGGCTTTTATTTTTCTTTTAGTAATATACATTGTAACAATTGGACTTGGGTTGGTTTATTAAAAAAAATTAAAATTTGAGGGTAGTTGTATTATAGAATTTTAATATATTTTTAAAATTTTATAATTATCAATAATGTATTTTTAATAAATTTTTTATAATGTAATTTAAAAAATATAAAATTATAATATAACATTTTTTCAAGCTGCTCACGAGCTTTTCGAGTCGAATATCTAGTAGCTCGTTTCGGCTTGTTAAGAACTCGAGTCGGGCTCGAGCTCGAGTCGAGTCCATTCGATCCGAGTATTTATCAAGCCTTGATCGAGTTGATCTGAGTAGCTCGCTATCTGTCTCGTCTCATTTACAATCCTAATTGCATTGATTCTATTCACAAACGTTTTGCCTTCTTAAATTTTACTTTTGTTGTAGCACTGATTGATTCTATTCACCAACTGCCCCAAAAACATGTTCGCATACCGAAGCTTCTCTATTCTTTCACATCTAATCCTGGTTTTCTTAAAGAAGCACTAAGAGGTTCTTTCTATTTGTGGCATAGGTTTTTAACTTCGTAAGCAAGTTAAAGAAACCGTCACATGTCTCGTTTCATTTTCTTTATACCTTCTTTTTAAATAACAATTAGAGACATGTAGCGGTTTTTTTAGCTTCGATTTTTTCTTCGAAAATGGTGGACAAGTTTTGGATCAATGGTAGGTTACTTCAATGAGTTGGCATTGGGGAATGGGGACAATAGGAAATGGTCAGGTTATTGAAGACTAGGGAGCCTTCATATTGATGGCCAAATCCTGTTGAGACATACCAATATGAAGTTGGTGAAAGACCTTCAACACCCCCCTTACCCTACCCTAATACCATAGGGTGTATTTGGTTCACGGAATGTAAAATTACCAGTGGAAATGTAAGATTACTAGGAATAGAATTACTGAGAATGTTGTATTTTGTGTTTGGTTGTTTTAGCAGTAATGTAAGATTACTGTGTTTGGTTAAAGGAATAAAAGATTAGTATAATGTATATTTGACTAAATTGTCCTTATTATATATTTATTTTTAACAAGTTGAAAAATATTTATATATTTTCTTTAAAAATTTAAATTCATAAAATTTATATATATATATTTTTACAAAATTGACAGTATAAAAAGGTTTAATGAAATGATAAAATTTTATTTTAACTCCTGAACTTCATATAAAATTTTAATTATAGATTTTTTTGTAAATCTAAAATAGTTTAAGGATAAATTCGTAATTTAACCTTCGTATAATTTTTATTATTCAATGACAGAAGAATGATATTTTTGAAAAAACATTAAGGGCATTTTAACACAAAACGTCGGTAATCCAACAATACCTAAGGAAATAGAAGTAATGACATTCCCGGTAATATACCCCAAAAAATCTACTATTGGTAATAAAACATTATCAGGAATTTGATTCCCGGCTAACCAAACATGGGAATGTGGATTATATTCCCATGGGAATCTCACATTCCATGATCCAAACATCCCCTAATTGGTAATCTCATATTGTTCTTCAGTTCTTGCACTCCATTATAAGTATGATCGTGCAGCTCAATAACGATTACTGGAACAAACCCGTTACAAGGTATTTGGTCCTTTATATTGTATTACATTACGAATTGATGTTAGTTGTTTTAGAGGGTAGTAAATAAGGGAGATGGTTGGTGGGAATTGTTTTTATTTTGCCCTACTTCAGCACACATTGTCGGTGGGTCACTCATATAATCCAGTCAGTGTATCCATGCATATATTCTTTGCCTGGAGAAACAGATATATATCCTTACCCTAAACCTTATCCTCATCAATGAGCTTCAAGCTATATAGGAAGAAAAACACTCGCACATGCATATATACATATACCTGTAAAGTACTTGTATTTAACAGGTTGGTCCCTGAATCACTCACAGGATATGGCAGTCTATCTTGTTTTGCAATCTGCTCTTCATCCAGATTGCCTCGAGCATTAAGCAAACATGGAGATTCATTTTTTATTAAACATGATGGATTGAATTTTTACTCATTCCCCTAACCGACCATGTAATCGAATAATGTAAAAAAACAAAAACAATGTCATTAATTTAATATCAGTAACTAATAATGATACCAATTTAGATGTGCTAATAAAGATATAGAAGTACCGGACTGAATTATGTTATATTATAATCGTCAGATTAAATCTCAAATTTTAACATGATAAAGGGACTTTAATTAAAAGTTTCATCAAGCAACTTGAGTTTTAGAGCTAAAGGCAGTATGACGTTGAAACCACACCAAATCTAAGCTTTTTCTTGTCTTTTTAATCTGCTTCTGAAAGGCTCGAAATATCACTATTGATTTGAGTGAGTTACACCAAATCTTGAAAAGACTGTGACATCAACCAGAACCAAACCTGGTACCCCGTTTTCAACCTCGCCGTTTTCTGTAATAAACGGACATTCCGACATGGCGGTTATGTCATTGGGGTCCCATAGCCACAAGCTCTTGTTAGTGGCTTACATTCATTATAATATTCATCTTCTATGCAAAAGCCCTTTTCTTTATAAATTCATCATCAGCTCTTCACCTCACTATCAACTAGAGAGAAATAAATAAAGAAATCCCATTTCTCCTCCCTATAAATTGACCAGAGATGTTACATGGTGTGCACTCCATGGAAAACTGTGTTCATAATGGGATGGACATTACAGAACTTGAGAGACAACAGGCAAGGTTGAAATTGCAGCAAAACCATGTGGTCCAAAATGACAATCCTACTGAGTTATGTCCAAATCCAGTGCCTCAGTTTCAGGGTTCCAATGGAGGGTTTCATCAGGGTAGTGATGATTTTAACAATTTTATGAACTATTCAGCATCAGGACCGGATTTTGGTGACTGTATAACAATGGAGTCTCCAACTGGAAGAAAGAGCTTCAACAAGAGAAAAACAGAGGTTTGGCACTATGTATTAACCGTAAATTTGTTCATTTTGAGACTTTTTCTTCTTGTTGTTGGATCAAAGACAAATCTATTCAGTTTTTGCTATGCAGACTGTTGTAGATGATAAATGTAAAGACAAGAGGATCAAAGGAGAGATGGAAATGGAATCCGAGTCCAAAACGAAATGCAGTACGGATGTTTCAAGAGACTCTTCAATGGAGAATTCGAAGGCTCAGCAGAAGCCAGATTACATTCATGTAAGGGCACGTAGGGGCCAGGCTACTGATATTCACAGTTTGGCAGAAAGAGTATGGGGTTTTTTGTTTTAGAATTTTGGGTTTTTATTTTCAACTAAAATCAACCTTTTGTATGTTACAGGCAAGAAGGGAAAAGATCAGTAAGAAGATGAAATGCTTGCAAGATTTAGTCCCAGGTTGTAATAACATCACTGGAAAGGGTGGAATGCTTGATGAAATAATCAACTATGTTCAATCTCTGCATAAACAAGTTGAGGTAGTCAGATAAGACATATGGTCAATGTTGTTAGCCTTTGAACATTTTTATTAGGACAAAAGCTCTCTGTCTTAACTTATGACGTTCATGCAGTTCTTGTCTATGAAACTTGCTGCTCTAAATCCAACAGTAGAATTCAATGTCGAACACCTACAGATGAAAGCGGTAAGAAAAAAACAGGCTCCCCTAATTGTTCTTTTGTCACTGATCATTGGAGGAAAAGTGGATTAAAAAAACATGCAACTTCTTGTATGACTGACTTGTGGTTTAAATAATGGTGCAATGAATCAGTTTGCTGCTTATGTCGCCAAATTTCCAGCAGCCATTACATCACTGGAAACGGCTGGTTTGGCCTTTCTTCAGTTGAAAAAGGAAGCTGTAATTTGCATGTTGGATGCAACAATGAACCCTCCCCGAACGGTCACAGAAGGAATGAATGCAAGTACTTCTTTATCTATCCCAGAACAAGCTCTTGGCTCATCCTGCATCACTGTAATTTATTCGTACTCATTCTCATGCATGAATTTATGGTTCTGTTGACGTCTTAATTGTGTCAAAATCATATATATTGCAGCAACTACAACCATTCTCAACTTGGAACACTGATCCTCTAGGCCCTCAAAGTGTGCACAATTTGGGGTCTTCTTAAGAGTGATCAAACAATTTTGGTCATGTTAAGTATAGCTGAGGCTCGGGTTCTTGATGTTAGTAGTTGTGGTAGTTAGTTTGTTGCTTAATGTTGTTAGTGTAGTTACAGTAGTTAGCTTAACTACTTCGCATTGTAAGTTGTATATAACAGCAGGTGATGAGCTCGTGTATGTACATTTTGAATGTATTACTTGAAGTTTACAAAGCAGTTGATTTCTCAACATGGTATCAATCGCCAAATATTATGGTGACCTTTCTTGTTCTTTTGCTGCTTGATCATGTTGTTTGGTGAAGTTCTTTCATCCTCCAGCAAAATCAAGATGTTTACAAACAAAAAGATTAATGTGGTGCTCGATGAAATGAATTTTCTGTTATGGAAACAGCAAGTGTTACTTACTGTGCACAGTCATCGTCTTGAACGATTGCTTACTGGTGCATTAAAGCCTCCACCTGAGTTGGTTGATGATGAAAATGGTGCAATGATTCCGAATGAAGATTATGAAGATTTTGTGGCACAAGACAGTTCCTTGGCTTCCTAGTTGCTGTCCACTATTAGCAATCATCTACTGTCTCAATTTGTTGGAGCTGAGACTACCTCTGCAGTCTGGAACACCGTGTTGCAATTCTTTGCTACCAGATCTCGACAGCAGTTATGAACCTACACTGCAAGCTACAATCCCTCAAGAAAGGTTAAGATAGTATGCGGGTGTATTTGTCTCGTGTTAAAGAAACGTGCGATGCCTTGGCATCTTGTGGCAGTACCATTCCCACGGTTGGTCGGATAGCAAGCATTTTAAAAGGGTTACCTCAAGAGTATCAACCCTTCATGGAAGTGATTACTACGAATGGAGAGTATGCACGAATGGCTGAGATGCAGTTAGCAGGATTTGCTGCTCAAGAAGAGGTAATCTTGGCAGGTGCGAATGTTGCTCGAGGGTTTGAATAAGCTAAGGATGGTTCACACTCATACTCACAGTATCATCGATCTTGTCAGCCAACGCATTCTGGTGCGAGATTTGGAAGGTCTAGTTGTGGATGAGGAAGATCACGGGTTCAATGTCAGTTGTATGGGAAGCCATGTCATCTCGTTGACCGGTGTTGGCATCGGTATTATGAGAATTTCCACATTGTAACTTCTAACACTGGTCAGTCTCCACTGCGAGTGCTAACAATGTCTCGTATGACAATATTGGTTGTGAGTGTTGTTTGAATAACTCGTGATCTCAGTCGGGGACAGAGGGTGTTTCTCGTGATCATGTGCCTTCTGGACCAGCTCAAGATGAGTGGGTGGTAGATTCAGGTGCCACGCATCATGTGACACCAAAGTCAGGTAATATTGCTCGTCGGGTAGAACGTGGTGGCCCATGTAAGCTTATGGTCAGTGATGGCCTTTCTTTACATGTTAATATGGTTGGTAATGTTACCCTAGAAACTTCAACTAGACCATTGTTGCTAAATGGTCTGTTTTATGTGCCTAGAATAACACAAAATCTACTCTCGGTGTCCAAGTTTGCTAGGGACAATGGAGTGTATTTTGAGTTCCATGCTGATGGGTGTTGTGTTCGTGACATTACTACCAAGGAAGTTTTACTGCGTGGACGAGTTGAGGGTGGTCTGTATGTTTTCTCTGGAGGCTCAGTTTCAAGTGCTTGAACAAGTGCTGCTTCTCATTCAATTGTTGCTGCAAACAATTTCAGTCTTTGACATTGTCGATTAGGACATGCAACGTATAACAAAGTTGCAAATGCTTGTAAAACAATTGATGTAATGCTTTCAAAGGATATGAATAACATGTGTGAAGCTTGTTGCATTGGTAAAAGTCATAAACTGCCTTTTTTGACTCTATTACTGTCTACAATGAACCGTTTCAGCTTGTGTTTGGGACCAACTCATGTAACATCTAATGGTTATCGGTATTACCTATCATTTGTGGATGTATATTCGAGGCACTATTTTGTATATTTTCTAACAGATAAATCACAAGTTGTGGTTGTGTTTAAACAATTCCAGAAGATGGTGTTGAACCAGTTTGGTGTGTCTATCAAAGATGTTCAAAGCAATTGGGGTGGTGAGTACATGAGTCTTTTTCTGTTCAAAGCTTGTGTTCATCGAGTAGCATGCCCCTGAACAGAATGGAGTAGTTGAGAGGAAACACATGCATATTATGGAGTTGGCTTTAGTGCTCTTGGCTCAAGTTGTAATGCCTCTGAGTTTATGGTATTATGCTACAGTTACTGTTGTTTACATCATCAATCGATTGCCAACAAAGGTTTTAGATGGTGTATCTCCTCTTGAGAAGTTGTGGGGAAAGAAACCCGAATATGAATCAATGAGGGTATTTGGATGTAAGTGTTATCCGCATTTAAGATTATTTCAGAGGCACAAGCTTGAATTCAGGTCTCAATCATGCACATTCTTAGGGTACAACCCACAACATAAGGGATATATGTGTCTTGCTACAGATAGGAGGGTTTATATATCGAGACATATGGTTTTTGATGAGGCAATTTGTCCATTTATGAGTTCTGGTACCTCTCATGTTTCAACTGGTATTACAAGCTCTAAATCAAGCTCTCTTGAGCTTGTTATAGATGTTAGCAAATTATAAACTGGTGGTGTTGTTGTGGGTGTCGAACCAATACCTATCAGTTTGAGGGAGAGTTCAAATCATGTAGATATGGCAAACATAGCTGAGGATGAGATCTCGAGTGTAAATGTTGAAAGTAATAAACATAATGCACTTGATGTCCAACATAATGATAGTAATGTTCAACAAGCTAATGAAGACTTAGGTGTTCATGATAGTATGGATTCAGAAGCAGGAAATGATGTTGCGACTATAATAAATCGTCACCCCATGCTCACGAGAAGCAAGTGTGGTGTTTTCAAGCCCAAAGTGTATTCTGTCACCTATGACACGATGGAGCATGTCAATGTGCATAAGGCTCTGCAGTCACCACATTTGAAAAATGTTATACTTGCTAAGCTTGAAGCATTGCAGGCGAATGGTACATGGTCACTTGTCTCGCTGCCTAAAGGAAGGCCAGTAGTGGGTTGCAAGTGGTTATTCAAAGTGAAAAAGAATCCAGATGGATCCATTAGTCGATAAAAAGAACGGCTTGTAGCACGAGGGTATTCTCAGGTTCCAAGGGTTGACTTCAATGAAACTTTCAGTCCAGTAGTGAAGTTTGCTACACTTAATGTGATATTATCCTTGGCTATAACAAGGGGCTGGCAGTTGTGTCAGATTGATATTAACAATGCCTTCTTGTATGGAGACTTGCATGAAGATTCTTAATGCAGCAGCCACTGGGTTCGAGCAAAGGGCTCCTGATGGTACTTTGTTAGTGTAAGCTTCAGAAGGCTTTGTATGGCTTGAAATAGGTACCACGCTGTTGGCATACAAAACTAAAGCATTGTCTGATGCAAATAGGGTTCAAAGAATCCAAAACAAACATTTCTTTGTTTATACGTTGCATTCAAGGGATGTATGTGTATATACTAGTATATGTTGATGACATAGTGATCACAAGCGAATCAAATGCTCAGATTGAAGAAGTGGTGAAGTTGTTGAGTGGTGAATTTGCTTTAAAGGATCTTGGAGAACTTAGTTACTTTCTTGGTATTGAGGTTAAAAGATGTGGAGAGACATTAATTCTTAGTCAACGCAAGTTTCTGTTGGAATTACTGATGAAGTCTAAGATGCATAATGCAGGAGCTGTATCCACTCCTATTCTGGTAACGTCGAGGCTTGCACAGGATGATGGTGAACTTCTTTCTAATGCGTATGAGTATCGCAGTATTGTAGGTGCACTACTTTATGCTTACCACACACGTCCAGACATCGCATTTAGTGCGCACAATACATGCATGCACCAAGACATGAGTACTTTGTAACTATTAAGCAAATTCTATGATATTTGGTAGGAACACTTAACCATGGTCTGGTTATAGCACCAGCAGTGGCAAGAATACATGTTGTAGCCTTTGTTGATGCTAAATAGGGTGGCAATACAGATGACCGAAAATCCATCACAGGAAATTGCATCTTTGTTGGCAAGAATCTAGTTATGTGGAGTTCGAAAAAACAAAAGTCAGTGTCTCAATCCACCATGGAAGCTAAGTACAGGAGTGTTGCAGATGCTACTGCTGAAACAACATGGGTGAGTGCACTGCTTATAGATATGAGAGTGCAGCATTTGAAGATTCCTGTGGTTTGGTGTGACAACAATAGTACAATAGCCATAACTGCGAATCCAGTGTACCATGCTAAAATAAAGCACGTAGAGCTGGATGTGCATTTTGTTCGAGAGAAAGTTGCAGCCAAGCTTGTTTTGGTGAATTATGTTCCTTCTAGTCATCAAGTGGTTGATGGCTTGACTAAGTCCTTGTCAACAACACAGTTTGAGCTTTTTCGTGCAAAGCTTAATGTTCAATCGTTTCTTGGGGAAAGAAAAAAAGTAGGGAGAATGTTAAGTATAGCTGAGGCTCGGGTTCTTGATGTTAGTTAGTAGTTATGGTAGTTAGTTTGTTGCTTAATGTTGTTAGTGTAGTTACAGTAGTTAGCTTAACTATAGCATTGTAAGCTGTATATAACAGCAGGTGATGAGCTCGTGTATGTACATTTTGAATGTATTCCTTGAAGTTTACAAAGCAGTTGATTTCTCAACAGGTCCCAACATCTAGAGGTGCATATATTCATTTTTTGAAGTTTTACGTATTCCTTTAAGGTCATGGACGATTTCCGTACTGGAATCCGGATATGTATTGGAAATGGTTATCGGAAAAGGGTATCGAGTAAAGAGTCTAAGCAAACATTTGTCCGTCCATTCTCTCCCAGCTAAGATTTGTTGTTTACTGGTTTTTTTCTGCAGATAATATTCCTGGAATCATATCAGACGTCAAGATCCTCTTACAAGATTTATGTCAAAGATTCCTGAAATCCTACAAGTATCAAATATGGAGATTTTATTTCCGTATGTTTTTACTATGATTCCAACAAATTATTAAATTAATATATTCTTGTTATTGTGTAGTCCAATTATTATAATGAAATGGCATCCATATCATTAATCACAAAGAATTTCCATATATACACTATAACGACTAGAGATTTGTTTGCCCATATATATATATGATGTGAAAATGATTCTTGTTGTGTGGAGGACCAGAATAAGAGTGGCATAAAAAAGCTGACAGTGATAGAAAATGAGATATGGTTGAAAGCTTTATATCAGTGTGGGTGGCCGTGGGGGGAAATTGGCTCATTACGGCACCCGGGCAAAACTTTTGGCCCATTAGAGCATCCAAACATTTAATTTGGGATCTATGGTAAATTGATCAGTCCTCATAGAACTCGTCACACCGGAATATAATTTTTAATGGGCCGTGTCAGGAGGGCCCTACATCCTGATTAAAAAAAATTCTTGAGGGACTTGTCACACCGGCGTAACGAGTCCTAATAAAAAATTTTTTTTATTTGTAATATTTTAAAAGAAATTAAAATAATATTTTATTGCCATAGAACTTGTCACGCCGGTGTGTTGAGTTCCAACGGGTATAATTTTCAATTTTTTGACCGTTGAATTGATCGTTGTTAAACAATCGAATTTTTTTTTAAATATCAATAGAACTCATCACGTCGGTGTGACGAGTTCCAACGGCTATTTTCAGTTTGAAAAACTAGCCATTGGGTAGAGTAGTATAAATAGAGGTTTGGGTTGGATAAATTTTTAACTTGTAATCAAACATTTTACTGAGAACAAAAACTTTTGTGTTGAAAAATTTGTGTTAAAATGACCTCAAGATAAGAAATGTTACGTCTTGATGAAGTTCATATTTTGTCGATCGAGTTGACAACAGTAAGTTTAATTTGTTTTATTTCATTTTAGTTTTGACAAAAGTATAATATTATAATAATTATTTATGTAATTGTATTAAATAATTTATTTTCAAATTGTAGCGAGAAGAACGAACCATTCGTCATCGAGGAATGAAGAATGAAGAGCCACATCAGCGGATGGTGATATATCTTTCATAATCCAGATTATATGGAGCGACGTTTCTTCACGGATTTAAGGTGATGTTGTCACTGATATCAGCGTTGATTGAGCGTAGGAGGCCCGAAATGCATACGTTTCATTTACCTTGTGGTGAAGTGACGATAACTTTGGAAGATGTCGCGTATCAACTCGGGTTCCGATTAATGGTATGTCATTGGTGCTTCGCAACACTTATAAGGTAAATAATGTTATTTCAAATTTATTGGGAAATAAGCTCCAATTGATGTCATTGATGGGTTGCTGGTACGAATGACATGGTTGAAAAGAGAATTTAGAGTAGATGAACAATCACGGAGCAAGAGGTGATATATGTAGCTTGAGCATATCTTTTGACGTAGATTGGAGGGATCTTGTTACCGGATAAATTGGGCAATTTGGTGCACACCCAATATCTTCCGGTAATGGAGGATTTCGTTGTATGTCGCCAATATAATTGGGGTTCTGTAATTTTGGTGTTTTTGTATCGTGAACTATGTAAGGTGACCATAGTCGTTAGAGGAAAAAAAGCAGATGTAGCAGGTTGTTTAGTTTTTCTCCAATTATGAGCGTGGTATTGTCTCTCGTTTATGACGCCTATTACATTCGTTCCTATGGAGTTTCCTCTAGCCACAAGGTAAATTCATATATTTAAAGTTTTCATATTTTATTATATTTATTTAAATATTTTGAAAATGATAATAAATAACGTAATTTTTTAGATGGCGACATCGAATAATCGATACAAAGTTGTCGGGTGCAACCAAAGTAGATATTCAGATGAGAATTGATATCGCCGGTAGACATGCGGTAAATTTTTGTATTTTTTGCATTAACTTTCAAATTGTAATATTAATTGTTTAATTATACTAACATAATACTTTTGACAGTTTAATTGGATGCCTTATTATGAGTTGGATATCCAACGGTGTCTACCGCCAATGTTCTTTGAAGGATGGACACATAGTGTGCCATAACACCATTGCTCCATTTCATAATTTTTGAGATCCATACCACCAATAGAGTTTTGCGACAATTTGGGTTTCACCAACCGATAGAAATGTTAATATATAACATTGACAATTTGCATAAAGTAGATACGTGTGGGAACCAAATATTGGCCAAGGAAGCATGCTACATTCATATATGAATGAAAAATAGACATTTACGATTACCTAATTGTTTCGAGGTACAACCCGATGATTTTGATTTCAATGTTTCTCCTACCTCCAAAATTATGAAGCAAATGAGAAACCATACTTGACAACGTCGGGGGGCGGTCCGAGTGGGAAATAATGAAGGGAAAATATGGGAAAAATCATCATCTTCGTCAACATCTTCATCTTATGCTTCCACCAATTATTATTCATCGCAAGAAAGTTATGGTGGATATGGTGCATATCAACCATCGATGGAGAGTCGAGCTGCGTGGGAAAGAAGTGGGTGGGATCAAGTCGGAATATAACCAAATGTATTCTGAATGGATGCCACTAACACATAACGATCACTCTTGGATTTTTTTCCACCAATATCTTCACATAAGAGAATATGACATTCGAATCTAAATATATGTGATCTTGTGTCAATGAGGTCATTTTACATGCGTTCTCTGTATTGAACCTTGTGATTTCCCACAACATCTTCTAGGTATGATACTCGTATCCTCCATTTACAGCCAACATCATGGTGTATACACCTTACGAAATAAGTTTTTTGATCTGTCTCCGCGACATAGAATTGAAGATGAGCTTTGATACAATACTCTTTGATTGCTAGTTGTGCCTCTTTTTTGTTTCAAACTGAGACCCAATGGCCAACTCAGATGACCACTCATTTGAAGAACCCCAGTGGGCAGCACATAACTATGACATATCAAATATTTCAGGATCCGCATATCATTGTAGTTAATTTCATGCATTGCAACTGCATGATGATACCAAGGCAAATCATAATGATTGAATTTAGGTTCAAGGTCTGTCCTTGCCCAAACATTTAGAGCATTTTGTAATCCATGACATCGTGAAACAGCTGCCTCCCATACATCCGCCTCAACATCCAAACCTTGTCCCTC